GAGAGCGCAGGTTTTGCTGCCACGATTGTTGCTGGCATTGATTTTGGAATGATTGTTGATCCTGTTGCCATGGCTGTTGCTGATACTGCGGGCCCGTTGATCCATCTCTACGGTCATCTGCTGGTCGTTGCTGCCACTGATTTCTTCTGTCTTGATAGTTGTAACCTCTTCCTTGTCCCCTGTAGTTGTCTTGATACCCTCGACCGGCTTGATTATTGTTGACATAATAATTATTACCGTATGATCTTCTGTTGTCGAGATTACCTGCGTTATCGCGGTTGTTGTTCCTATACAGCTGTCCACTTCCTCGAGGATTGAAAGATCCTCGCCGTGCCTGTTGTCGTCTTTCATCTTCAACTGGGCAATTACGTATGAAATGTCCTACCTCTCCGCATCCATAGCATTTATGCCTATCTTGGTCAATTTTGGCTGTATCATTTACAACGGTGAATACCAATGGTTCTTCCCTGGCTGCCCCCTCACCGAACTTCTTTATTGATTCTTCGGCCTGTAATTCTCCCCCGTATGTTGCCAACCTGATTCTAGCGTGATCTCTCTCTCTCTGCGGCGAACCTTGTCCTCTCTTAATCTGTTCATTGCGTCTGTTTTTTCACTCTGGATCTCGGCTTCCAGTGCTATTTTCAATGCCTCCGCAAGGTTCCTGGGTTTCTGGGTTGAAACTGCAAATGATAGCTGCGGTGCAAGTCCTACAACGAATGTTTCTAGGGCTGCTGCATTTAGATCATTCTTCCGATATTGTTTTTGATCCGCTGGCAGTGCGCTCCTGTCAATTTTGTTAGTTGCTTGACTTCTCATACTTTCTATTCGCGCCCCGAATTTTGCTACGCTCTCCCTCTCTTCCTGCAATACTTTTGTTAGCCGATTTAATATTGCGAAAAACTCCTCGGTACGCCCAAAATTTTGTCGCAATTTTTCTCTAACTTCATCAATTGTTTCCGCTGTTTTCATGACTGTTCTCATACTACAAACCGCGACGCCTGAAAGTCTGGACGCTAATTCGAAAATGAAGGTTCCTTCATCTCCGGCTTTTAACTTCGGAGTACAATATTCAATAGCATCGATAAATGGTTCAACATCGCCCTCTCCTGAAAATACCGGAATGTGTCTCATAAGCGATATGATGCGCTTCAGCCGCCCTTCTTCTGTTTCCATCGTCACCGCTGTTTCTCTTGATAATTCTTCTTCTGGTTCGCTGTCCCGGACACCGTTCCCAAAAATGTCCTCTAACGTCTGTTCGTGTATTAGTACGTCAAATGAAAAATCGTCAGTAGTAATATTAGAACTTCCGGAACTACCGGCAGAGTCACGTAATCTGTTATCGCGCTAGCCGTCGAACCGCGCCTGCCGATCCTCAACAACAGATTCTTTTATGAGATCAATTTTTGCGACTTACCTGAGTGCCAAGATGCTCAGTTGAATTGTGATCTGCATTTACTGTACTCCTGTGCCCTTTTCTAAATGATTGGCCGACTTTCCTATTTCTCGGAGCCCTGTTGATGACGCGTTCTTTTGTTGCTGGCCTTGACGTATCCTCTGTGTAGTTTGCGTCTCTCTTCTCTGTTTTTGATGCTTCTTCTTCTTTATTTCTCGATTCTGGGGACACTTATTTGAACTTTCTCACTTCTCCCACTTTATATCCTTATTCCACTGTAATCCTTATCTTTTGCGGCAATTGTTTGAACTCTCACTCTCTTTTCCAATTTATTTTCTTATTTCACTGTAATCCTTATCTTCTCGAGGCACTTGTTTAATCGCTCTTTTTATTTTAATCACTCTTCTATATTCAGTTACCTTATTTTCTCAATTGCACTTATTTCAATTCTCTTTATTTTCAATTATCCTCTCTATTTCAATTCACTTTTTCTCAATATCAATTGTCTTCTCTATTTCAGTTCATTTTTTCTCAATTATCTTCTCTATTTCAATTCACTTTTTTTTTTCAATATCAATTATCTTCTCTATTTCAGTTCACTTTTTCTCAATTATCTTCTCTACTTCAATTCACTTTTTTTTTCAATTATCTTCTCTATTTCAATTCAATTTTTCTCAATATCAATTGTCTTCTCTATTTCAGTTCACTTTTTCTCAATATTAATTATCTTCTCTATTTCAGTTCACTTTTTCTCAATATCAATTATCTTCTCTATTTCGGTTCATTTTTTCTCAATATCAATTATCTTCTCTATTTCGGTTCACTTTTTCTCAATCCACAGATTCATTTCGGTTCACTTTTCTCAATTATCTTCTCTATTTCAACTCACTTTTTTCTTCAATATCAATTATCTTCTCTATTTCAATTCAATTTTTCTCAATATCAATTGTCTTCTCTATTTCAGTTCACTTTTTCTCAATTATCTTCTCTACTTCAATTCACTTTTTTTTTCAATTATCTTCTCTATTTCGGTTCACTTTTCTCAATATCTTCTCTATTTCGGTTCACTTTTCTCAATATCTTCTCTATTTCGGTTCACTTTTCTCAATATCTTCTCTATTTCGGTTCACTTTTCTCAATATCTTCTCTATTTCGGTTCACTTTTCTCAATATCTTCTCTATTTCGGTTCACTTTTCTCAATATCTTCTCTATTTCGGTTCACTTTTCTCAATATCTTCTCTATTTCGGTTCACTTTTCTCAATATCTTCTCTATTTCGGTTCACTTTTCTCAATATCTTCTCTATTTCGGTTCACTTTTCTCAATATCTTCTCTATTTCGGTTCACTTTTCTCAATATCTTCTCTATTTCGGTTCACTTTTCTCAATATCTTCTCTATTTCGGTTCACTTTTCTCAATATCTTCTCTATTTCGGTTCACTTTTCTCAATATCTTCTCTATTTCGGTTCACTTTTCTCAATATCTTCTCTATTTCGGTTCACTTTTCTCAATATCTTCTCTATTTCGGTTCACTTTTCTCAATATCTTCTCTATTTCGGTTCACTTTTCTCAATATCTTCTCTATTTCGGTTCACTTTTCTCAATATCTTCTCTATTTCGGTTCACTTTTCTCAATTATCTTCTCTATTTCAATGCACTTTTTCAATTTCACTTTTATTTTCTTCAGTAATCCTTACTTTTATACCCGGGTATTTCTTAGAGATCTCAGATTTGCCAAATTTTTTTTTTTAATTTTTAAATTTACAACAAAATTTTTTCTAATTTTGGAAAATCATATACAATCATATCGGTTACTTGGATTTTTTAATTTTTTTATTTTATATATTTTTGTAAAGAAAACAAAATTTTTTTTTCTTAATAGTCTTATGAACGTGGACTTGGCGCAATTTTTTTACAGTGAAACTGTTTTTGTTCGGATATCAATTATCTTCTCTATTTCGGTTCACTTTTTCTCAATATCAATTATCTTCTCTATTTCAGTTCACTTTTTCTCAATATCAATCATCTTCTCTATTTCAGTTCACTTTTTCTCAATATCAATCATCTTCTCTATTTCGGTTCACTTTTTCTCAATATCAATTATCTTCTCTATTTCGGTTCACTTTTTCTCAATATCAATTATCTTCTCTATTTCAGTTCACTTTTTCTCAATATCAATCATCTTCTCTATTTCGGTTCACTTTTTCTCAATATCAATTATCTTCTCTATTTCGGTTCACTTTTTCTCAATATCAATTATCTTCTCTATTTCGGTTCACTTTTTCTCAATATCAATTATCTTCTCTATTTCGGTTCACTTTTTCTCAATATCAATTATCTTCTCTATTTCGGTTCACTTTTTCTCAATATCAATCATCTTCTCTATTTCGGTTCACTTTTTCTCAATATCAATTATCTTCTTCCGTAATCCTTACTTTTATACCCGGGTATTTCTTAGAGTTCTCAAATTTGCCGATTTCTGGGTACTCACCACTAAATTTTCCGCACAATTCACTTCACTCAATTCACTTAGCTGGGCGACAACCACGTTGGGCGCCAATTTTTCTGTTACGTGTGAGCCTACACCTGGTCATTTACCTGTCACATAAACAGACCTCCGGACTAGCTCAGCGTCTCACTGAAAAATACTTAAATGTTGATAAAGGGTGTGGGTCACTCAGTGAATGAAGAATACTCGTGAATTACGGTACTAATTGTTTATTGGGCGTCCCCAAAGCATGGGAGTTACCCGAAATTGCCCTGAGAGTCTCTTTTACAATCTAATTCTCTACAAAGCGATTCTAAACTGATACAATGTTACTCAATAAATGCAATACTAATGATTCTATAACAGAGAGAGAGAGAATGGGACAGCAACGAGAGTGAGAGTCTTCGAGGACTATTAATTTCGATGCTCATTAGCTCAGACTCGACATAGATTCGGACAGACTAAACGACTGACTGATTACAAGTGGTGGCTCGTCCCGACATTTCCAGGGTTTTTAACACCTCGGTCGCGGACGCCATCAACACCTGTATCCCTGCGCGGAACTTGTATTATTCCGCATTTGAACTCAGATTATTGCGCCTTCGGCAACTAGGTGGTTATTGTCAAGTCCCTTAATCAGCAGAAAAAGGTATTAATGCGCCAAAAGCGGTTCCCTGTATTAGAGTACCTGTTTGCTCGGTTCCCATGAGAAAGTGTCTCATCAGCACCACGTGCAAGTAGCGACTCTCGGTAATCAGAGTCAGGCTAGAAGGACAACGGAAATTCGGTGTCTAATTTAGGCGGGCAAGTTGGCCCATCGATTTATAGAATATATATGATTTATCATAATGTTGACGGGAGGGTAGGCACACCCGTCACAAATATTGTGGAAATTATTTGTAAATTTAGATTTAAGCGTTATTATTATTATTATTGTTATTGGGGAATTAGTATAAAGTGTGGTTGTGTAAGAGTAAAGAGACTATCCAGTTTTGGGTAGTTCTCTTAGAGTAGCGTGAAGTTTGGGGGACAGCGTGCGCTGTGAGGACAACGTGTGCAGTCATGTCAGAGGTCCAGCTCAGTGGCGTGAGTGTCCGTGAGACCGCGCGAACTAAGATAAAGTAGCGTTAGAGGTCCAGGGGACGGCGCGAAGTAAATAGAGTACCGTGAGAGTCCAGTAGGCATCGGGGACTGCAACGGCGTGAGGGTCTAGATGGACAGCGCGAAATATACCGTATGTGTGTGAGTGTGAGTGTGGATTTGTATTCATGAAATTTTATGTATTGTAATACTGGCCATATTTCAATTGTAAGAGGGGTTGGATAAATAAATAATTTTTGTTAACGAATTTCTGTGTTTAAATCTTAAGCCCTTTCAGCAAATCTCTCACGACCCTGACCTAGCACTCCATGTTCTGGTCTAGTTTCTGGAAACTGAGAGCAAAAATCCAGTGGCGCCCTTAAGAGAAAAGGGCGACCAAGGGAAACAAAACATTCCGTTTCAACCTCACGTTCGTCAGTAGCAGCCTCGCGAGAAGTAACCTCAACTGGAAGGTGCTGGATATCTACACTGCCAGTGACTACAACGCGATTCTCTGGGAAATATCAAATGACCAGGATACTAGAGGAACTAATAGATTACCTAACCACATTCGGTGGAGAGTAAAATCTTTCGACGCGAGTACGCTGATGACTGCTTTGGATAACGGCCCGATCACCGCTGGATGCGCAGAAGACCAGACTAAAGAACTTATGGAAAGAGTGACCGAAGCTTGTGACGCCAGTATGCCACGAAAACGAGGCATGAATAGAAGACCCGCAGTGCACTGGTGGAACGATCACATCAGCGCTCTTCATATAGAATGTCTCAGGAAAAGAAGAATATCACAGCGTGGCTTCCGTCGACCTAACTTTGCAGAACTGGTGGCAGAGTATAGAAAAGCCCGTCGGGAACTGAACAAAGCCATCAAGGATAGTAAAAGACGTTGTTGGAAAGAACTCGTCGAAGAAGTGGAGAAGGACCCATGGGGCAAACCGTACAAGGTGGTCACGGCCCACCTGAATACCAGCCAATGCCGTCGCCTACATGTTCGCAGCTCCTAGAGAGGATTGTTACTGCGCTGTTTCCTCAACAACCGGTATTCACCGGCCAGTTGAGGCAGCTAAACCCTGAAGACATTCCATCCGTCACGGAAGAAGAACTAATGGTGGCTTGTAACCGCGTCCGGAACAACAAAGCGCCGGGACTTGACGGAATCTCTAATATTGCCTTGAAAACAGCCATAAAGGCAGCACCAACGTTATTCTTGAAAGTTTACAACATGTGCCTCAAGGAAAAGACATTTCCTCGGAAATGGAAACAACAACGCCTGGTTCTACTCCCTAAAGGAAAGAAGCCACCAAAAGAGCCGTCATCCTATCGCCCACTTTGCATGCTGGATACAGCCGGTAAGTTATTCGAACGCATAATTCATTAAAGAATAGAAGCAGTTGTGGATCCACTCCTAGCGAACAACCAGTATGGATTCTGGAAAGGACGATCAACCCTGGACGCGGTCAACCTGGTTGTTACTACGGCCCAGGAGGCAATTGCAGGAACCAGATGGAAGGGTGGTACGAAGAAGTACTGCCTGGTGGCGACGTTAGACGTCAGAAACGCCTTCAACTCTGCTAACTGGGACTGCATTATGCAAGCTCTTCAAGAGAAGGACGTGCCAGGATACCTGCGTAAA